ACAAATCTGAGGGTGTGTAAACCAACTTTTTATACTTTTTATACATCACATCTGAGGTGAAACAGTACTTTTTATCATACAGACCTCGGACAGAATACGGCATTTCACAATTTTTTAATGTTCAGGACGATCAATCGTGGGCTTTTAGCGAAACCGTTCAAAAAATTTCCAAAATCACCCATACGGCCAGCCGGTTCTCATTTTTAGTGCGAGCTGTCAGTGTGATCGAGTGTTTGAATGAACTTTAATGGAGATACGCTTCAACATAATAACGAATTTATTATCATTATTTTTTGTTATTTAATGGTTCCAGTTATAACGATGTGTAATCTTATAAAGCGTTTGATACGCGCAACATTTCTAAGTACTCCTGCAAGCGATGTTCATGAACGATGAAAACAAACACCACGGACAAGCGATTAAAATTGCAAGAGAGACTACTAACAATCAATAAGAGAAATATAATTCGGTAAAACATTTACAGAGACTACAATTTTCATTCACGAAGACAAGTATTAAAGTGTCTCTAAAAATCCTGAGTGTTTAAGCTTAAAGCTTAAGCTTAAGTTTATTTTGTTTTACTTTCAGCCGGCCTCCCGGTGTTTGTTTTTTTTCAAAGATGAACTCCTCGAAACAAGAAAATCACTCAAAAGGTTTTCTTTCTACAGCCAAATTTATAACTAAATATTCTTCGGAACGTTTTTTTTTTATTTGCCGTGAGAAAATATATATGAAGGCCTTTTAAAGTTCTGTAAGCTTATATCAAACCTGATACTAGATCAGATCATTGACTCAAATCTCAACAAACGTGCAAAACCTTGCCGCATAAACTGTGCTCGACTTCATGAAATTAGATATAACAAAAACAAACATCAAATACAATAATTACTCAGGCTTACCATTCGAGATTCAGTTCCTGAAAGATATCAAGGAAGGCCATAGTTGCTTGAGACTTTTAAACCCTCTTACGCATTGAGCAAGGTGAAAGACGAAAGCGATGCCATCCGAAATCGGATTACCCAATTTTGACAAGCGACGCTTTTCTTAACCAAAAACCCAATAAACAAACCAGCCATGGATAACAGAAGACTCTTGATAGCAGCTGTATTTCATTTTGTACATCCAGTGGAAAAAGATTTAGACAGTTAAAAACATCACAAGTTGACACAAAACTCTGTCAGCTTTTGCTGTCAAAGTAAACAACTTTCAAGATGCTGCATAAATTTTCCGCATGAACTCACCTGTCACATTTTGCCCAATCAGAAGACAAAAATTGGACGTAGAGCGTGACCAACGCGTGACCATGGTAAGAAAAGGTCTTCCCCGCCTTTATTTTTAAAAAAGTGGCTGAATTTTTGCGTCTGACGTCAGTTTGAAATCAAAATCTTGACAGTGCGGGGCCATAGTGACATAAACACAACATATTTCATATGAATCATTGGAAAAACTAGACTTGAGCCTGCGATCATTTGAAACTGGTAATTTGTCAGCGGATAACTTCAAAAAAGTACTCGACCTCGATGGGTCGACACTTGAGCCCGCGGTACGGTCAGGTGATACTGGTCAGCGGATATCCTGTTTTGACAGCTGTCAATTGATCACAATATTGATGTGCAATTAGTTTTCTATTGGGCTCCCAAACTAGCTAGAAGGTGTGAGAGTAAACATTGGTTTCCCTGTGGTGCGGACGGACGGTCGGTAGGCATTTGCCGATTGTGCTAGTAAAAGTGGCATATTATGCTAGTGGCAGTGCTCGTTTTTTGCCCAAATTATGCTCAAATTATGCTCGCTTTTCAAAATTATGCTACTTTTTTAAAAAATTATTCTGTGCACAAACTTCACAACTCACAAGATAAGTTTGAAAATGTATTTTATTAACCCTGGCATCTTTCCCTTTGGCATGTTTTCTTGAACTACAATGTGATGCTAAAATGCTCTTTTTGGATGATACCATTTCTCTGCAGGCATTGCAAAAGATCGTTGTGCCTCTGACACTCAGGTGCTGATCAGGGAACTGATTAATACGATCTTGCAAAGGGACATTTTTTACATTAGTGACATTACTCGTCCCCCTCCTCTTGTATTTTCCAGTGGTGGATTCGAGGCGTCTATCCCGGGCAAGTTGTGCAGGCTTTGGTCTATCCTCTCTGTTCTCGCAACCTTGTAAACTATCTGGATGTAAGTTCACTGCACTTGACTGGTTTGGCGTGGCGGCCGCCATTTTGAAACGAGCACTGGGAGAAAGACTAAGGAGTCTGGGACCGAGACACAGACTTCCGGTTCCGTTTCATCGAACTCCCGCGGTATCTCAACACAAGTAAAAAAAAGTCGAAAAATAGGAGTGGAAGCAACTGTTAATAGTAATCTATCGTTTTTAGTAGCTGAGATCTTCGTTTTCTTGAATTATTCTAAAATTGTGCTATTAAGACAAGAAAATATACGGATTATGCTAGCAGTGCTACTTTTGGAAAAAGGGCAAAAATTATGCTCAATTCCTCAGATTATGCCAAAAATTATGCTAGCACAATCGGCAAGAGCCTAACGGTCGGGCGTACGGTCACGTGATTACCAAATTTTCTCGGATGGGTAGATTACCACATTTCCTTAGCTATGGGGCTCCGTCCACGCGCGCGCTTCGCGCGCGGGTGGAGCTCCGCTATAATTCGGTGAAACATTTACAGAGACAACAATTTACATTCACGAGGACAAGTATTAAAATGTTTCTAAAAATCCTGCGTCTTAAAGCTTAAAGCTTAAGTTTTCGTTTTATGAAGCCGATCTCCCGGTGTTTGCTTTTTTTCAAAGATGACTCGAGACAAGAAAATCGCTCAAAGTTTTCTTTCTACAGCCAAATTTATAATTAACTATTCTTCGAAACGTTTTCTTTCTAATTGCGTTGAGAAAATATATCTAAAGGCTTTTTAAAGTTCTGTAAGCTTATCTCAAACCTGATACTAGGTCAGATCATCGTCTCAGATCTTACAAACGTGCATAAACTTGCCGCATAAACGGTGCTCGACTTCACGAAATTAGATATATAAAAAAAAAACAAACATCAAATACAATAATTACTCAGGCTTACCATTCGAGATGCAGCTCCTGAAAGCTATCAAGTAAGGCTGGAATCGCTTGAGACTTTTGAACCCTCTTTTATGCATCAAGCAATGTAAAAAACGAAAACGATGCCATCCGAAATCGGATTTCGGACTTTGACAAGCGACGCATCTCTCAACCAGAANAAGTTTTCTTTCTACAGCCAAATTTATAATTAACTATTCTTCGAAACGTTTTCTTTCTAATTGCGTTGAGAAAATATATCTAAAGGCTTTTTAAAGTTCTGTAAGCTTATCTCAAACCTGATACTAGGTCAGATCATCGTCTCAGATCTTACAAACGTGCATAAACTTGCCGCATAAACGGTGCTCGACTTCACGAAATTAGATATATAAAAAAAAAACAAACATCAAATACAATAATTACTCAGGCTTACCATTCGAGATGCAGCTCCTGAAAGCTATCAAGTAAGGCTGGAATCGCTTGAGACTTTTGAACCCTCTTTTATGCATCAAGCAATGTAAAAAACGAAAACGATGCCATCCGAAATCGGATTTCGGACTTTGACAAGCGACGCATCTCTCAACCAGAAAACCGATAAACAAACTAGCCATGAATAACAGAAGACTCTTGATAGCAGCTGTATTTCATTTTGTACATCCAGGGCAAAAAGACAGTTAAAAACATTAGCAGTTGACACAAAAGTCTGTCAGCTTCAGTGAACAGGCTGCATAAGTTTTCCTCATGAACTCACTTGTCACGTTTGACCTATCAGAGTATAAAAATTGGACGTAAAGCGTGACCAACGCGTGACCTTGGTAAGAAAAGGTCTTCCCCGCCTGTATTTCTAAATAACCGGCTCAATTTTCGCGTACGAGGTTAGATTGAAATCAAAATCTTAATAGTGCGGGGTCATAGTGACATAAACACAACATATTTCATATGAATTTTTTAAAAATATAAACTTGAGCCTGCGATCATTTGAAAACTAGTAACTTTTCAGCGGATAACTTCAAAAAGTACTCGACCTCAATGGGTCGACACCTGAGCCCGCGATACTGGTCAGCGGATACCTTGTTTCAACAGCTGTCAATAGATCACAACATTGGTGTTAAATCAGTTTTCTCTTGGGCTCCCAAAAGAAGTTAGAAAGTGTGAAAGTAAACATTGGTTTTCCTGTAGTGTAGACGGACGGTCTCTCGGGACTATGGGACTCCGGCCACACGCGGGCGAAGCGTGCGCGTGGAGCTCCGCTATCAATTTGACGAGCGATCTACAAATAGCACATTCCTTTATTGTAAGGAAAGACTTTTTCACACGCAGGGAGAGAATTGCGACAAGTTGAAGCTTTTTTCCGTGGGACCCTGGGAGAGAATTGTTTTTGCAGCTCCCTTGCAGGCTAACTACCTCATCGAATAATGTATTTAGATAAGGCATTCGGCGTAGATATAAGTCCAACAACTCCACGTAATTATTTTGTGTTCGTTCCAAATAGACTTCTAAGTCTGTTCGCCAGACGACCTGAAATAACCCGTGGGAGTTCCGTCCGCTGTTTCTTTTTTTTTTTTTCGACATATATGGAAGGTACTTCTTGATTGGGCGTTGCCCTCACGGGCAGCCCAACAATTATTAACATGACTATGCCATAATTCAGCGAGAACCAAGGCTACCCTTGAATTTTAATTACTAATGATCAAATCAAAAAGAAAAATAAGTACCTTAATTAGTATTTAATTTCGTGGGTCTTTAGTTTTTCGCGATTTAAAAAATATCTCAAGATTTAAGATCATTTCTAGAAATACTGGCTGGTACTAATGGACCGCTCCTAATAACTGGAGATTTTAACTTCCACCTCGACGTCCCAACTGACCGTTTTGCTATTCGTTTTATGGGTTTAATTGAAGCTTTCAATCTCATACAAAGCATTAGTGCTTCCACCCATAAAAATGGACATACCCATAGTGATCACCAAAGCCAATGCTAACTTTATAAAATACATCAAAGTGTCTGATCCAGTTATACACGACAATTCTGCGGTGCATTGTGGGTTGTTTATCAAGAAACCAGATTTTGAAAGGCTGGAAATAACATATAGGAAACTGCGGTCAAATGATAGAGAATGCTTTATCCAGGATATTCGAAAATCAGAATTAGCAAATTATAACAAGTTTGAGAATGTCTCTGCTCTCGTAGACTGCTATGACAGCACATTATCGAGGTTACTTGAGCAACACGCGCCTGCTAAGAAATGTGTTGTTACTATACGACCTGCTGCGCCGTGGTATAACGATCAGATCAGAGCGGGAAAAGTATAAAGAAGGAGACTGGAGAGGATATGGCGGAAAAACAAACTTACTATTAATAGGGAAGTGTTTGATAAGCCATGCACATGCGTTAACAGGCTAATTTCAGACTCAAGGATGAAGTTTTGTGCAGACACCATTAAAGACAATAGTTCTAATCCGCGGATATTGTTCTCAACGTTTGAAAAACTGTTGCATCTCAAGGCAGCACCAAAACTACCATCGCACGAAAACGACAACGATCTCGCGAACACCTTTGCTGAGTTTTCTGAGAATAAGATACAGTCTCTCAGGGACAACATGCTAAAAGTAATCTTACTGACTCACTTCAAGTTTCATAGTCTTGTGGAATTGCTTGAATTTTCTTATTTTTTACGAACTATGGCTGGGAAATCCTCTTGAGGGAGACGGCCATTTGCATTCTCGAACGATGGAAGAAAGGTATGAAAGAGCAATCACGTACGGGAGAATATTCAAACAGCTCAGCAACTATAAAATTGTATTGGTTCTTTCCCTGATTAATCGACTTCGGCTCATCAGAGAAGATTGATGCGTGCGCGTTGATTGACATGGCCGCCACATTTGCACGACCACGGTTTGTTAAGATTCAGAAATTTTGCTTCCATGCAATGTGACGTAGTGACTTCTCTCTATTCTTTACACAAAAAGAAGACTTGAGTAAGCATGTCGCTGCGCTTGACTTTAACACCTGGTGATGCCTGCAGTAAATAACTCGTACTTACATCTATTTCCGCTTCCTTTAGACCACAAATTTCCAGGAAACGAATCAAAAACCAGCGCTGATCGTAATTATCTGTCTTCACCAGACCTCCTCCGAAGTTAAAACAGCCCTTTTGAGCACCTTTCCATGTATTTTTTTTATTTTCTATGTAGCAAGATGACCCATTAGGATACCAACCGGTAGAGCAAGCCAGTGGACCTAGTTTAAAGAACAGTTAGTATTACATTAAACCAAGAAGGTTAATCTGATCATATTACGGTTGACAAATTACTCCTTAATTTTGGCGCGAAATTTCAGCAATTATATATAATTTCACATGTGAAATTACAAAATTGCCATGACAACCTTCCGTACGTCTCAACACCGAGATGGTGGCAAAGTTTTAAAAATGTTAGAAATGAAGATGTCAGGGCATTAAAAGACGCTTTAGAAAACCTGCACACACGAAAGAGCACATCAAGAGCGATTCTATCAGGAATGTTGTCGCAAAAGTCTGAAACTAATGAACTTAAGCAGATTTCTCGGTCGATGATTATTTGATAAACATGTCAAAAACCTACGATTGTGAGAATAATTCGTCACCCATGATATTAATATGTAATCAAATGGCATACTCGTGAAATTAGGGAGTAATTTCCCTTTCCTAAATTAGTACGATTTGGACAAAACACGCGTGAAATTATTCCCTAATTTCACTGGTCATCATTTGATTACACATACCAATCTAACAAGAGGAAAGACGTGAGCAGTGAACCAATTTAAACTCGAAGTAATTTTGGCGATAACTGTAGAAAAGACGAAAGCAAAACAATTCCTCGGGGAAGAAGTCACCTAAAAAAAATTGGGGGAGCTCGTCCTTCCTGTTGGTGGTTAAGATTTAATTTGTGGATTGATACCACTTGGTAGCCGGCTCTTATCTAAAATATGAACATATTAGATGTTGCCATAAGAGCTGTTTTGGTGCCTTTTAGAAGCCAGTCGAGATGTCTCGCCAAAAATTATAAGATGTATTTGTTACTCAACTGTTTTTTCCGTAGTTTTGCATTAAAAGTTTAATCTTTATTTGGCAAAACTGCTCAAAACGGCCGGGACCAATTATATTTAAAAGCTTTGACTTGTTCTTGGAGGGGGAGGTGCTTCTCTATAAAAGTGTGGAGGTGCTAGTCGGAAATTTTTAAAATACACCCCTAAAAGATATCAGAATATGGCATCTGGGCGTGACTCAAACTGATCCTTACAGCGAGAAGACTGAGAGAATGCCGAGATGAAATAAAAAGGAATAGCAAAATCTATTTGTATCCTAATATTTGTTTACAGAAGATCCGGTACTCGTCAGTGGTTTTTGCTGTAGCCTATGACGTTTTTATCTCAAAAACACAACGCTGCCTATCCTTTATTTTTTCTTATCAAGTGCTGTCTTGGGAACAACTTACCTTTCGCCCTTTCACAGATGAAGTATTTGTTTTCCTTGCAACATTTGGTAAGGTTCCAACCATTTCCCAAGATTTCAACACATTTGTCTTCACATGCAGTACTCGATCTGTTACCGAGCCACTTGACAGGAAAAGACTCATTAAAAGATTCTCCATTGCTCCATAAATATTCACCTTTCTGAAACCGATAAACCAGCCCAATCCAGGCTGGATTGTCAATGATGTTGGAAGACAGGTTATAAACAAAATCCATTTCCCTTTTATTCGCTACACTTACAGGGTCTCCTCCAAACGAAAAACACACGCGTGAAGCTGTCGACCAACTGAATTGCCGCCTATAATTAATCTTGTCCATAACCTTGTAGCACGAGTTGTCAAATTCTTTCCAGTCTTGAGGACATGAGAGGTGTCGGTCTTATAAAAAGTCAAAGAAAATGACTTGAGAACGTAAGGGACTAACTCCAGGAAAATGTCCATTAATAATAATTATAATAATAATAATAATGATAATGTGGTTTTTCATGTTCAAATGCAGCTACTTTTTATGGAGCTAAAATTAGAAGGACAGGAACAGTAATAGCTGGTCTAAGCAATACAGTCGAACCTCCCGTAAGCGACTATCTAAAATGCAAAGACTTGGCAGTCGCTTACTGGAGGTGGTCGCTTACAAGAATCGAAACACAGGGGGGACATCTTCCGAGAAGAGGTCTGGGCACATCTACCTTATGGAAGACAACGTATTGCATTTAATTTCTAATTGACGCCATGTGTAGCTCCATCTTGTTACTTAAGTTTTGGCATTTTCTAAGTAGCATTGTGCACACAGCGAAAATAGAGAACAGAGATTGCGTCAAGTGGTCGCTTACAAGAGGTTAAAAACAATGGAAAATCATTCCATGTCGGCCCAAAAAGTGATGGCGGTCGTTTACAGGAGGTGGTCGTTTATTAGAGGTTCCAACTGTCAGGCTTTGACTGGGAAAATTGCGGTGTATTGGTTTGGCGGTCACTTACGGGAGGTGGTCTCTTACGAGAGGTGGTCGCACATGGAGGTTCAACTGTAAATAGAATAAAATTTCACGTAACCTTGCCCATAGCATGTTTTTAAGATCGCAAAAAAGAAAAAATACTTATACTAATCCTCTTGTTAAATAGTCTGCTACGCAGCCGTTTTTAGTGTCGTCACGCAACGCTCCTTCCCAGAAACGGCTGCTGAGAATCGAACCACTTTCCTTTCCAGCGGTTAGCCAATTATAATTCAGCTCCCATTTTCTGGAAGGGGTTCACGCCTCGTTTGCGGCACGCTCAGACTCCACCAATCACAACTTCGCTTTTATCAGTGCTCCATGTGTGAATGACAGCACAATCAAAATAATAGCGTGAAAACAAGCAATCAACGAGAGTAGTGTTGTCGTAGTTGATTCCTATTCAAAATTTATGAGATAAGGAGCAGCAGTAAGCAAGTCGGCTCATACTCGGTGTAAAAACCTGTGAAACTCACGAGTGACGTAAAGCAATTAATACAAAGAAGCCACTGAGAAGTCAACACAATAGAGCCAAGAAAGTAATAGCTAGAAAACAAAGAAAAAGCTCACAGGTTTTTTCACCGAGGATGACCCACAAGTCGGGCAAATGCGACGCACGACATTGATGTGCTTATAAAGTTACCGGGTATAGTTTCGGGAAATCGCACATCGAAAATTATAAGATTGCTTTTTTTTAAATCAGTATCCTTGGGAGTTTTGTCTTCAAATGTACACCGTGCAGCAATATAATGAACACATCCGGCACATGAAATTCAGCATACGTATATATCAGTACATGTGCACGTTAAATGAAGAACCAACCGATCCTGGTAAGAGTCTTGTAGGCCTATCAAACTCTTTTTTCCACTTGGAACTTTCTTAACCGCTTAAAACAAACTTTTCTGCAAATTAACCTTTTCTTTGATTGCGGACACAGAGCCCATCCAAATTAAGCGACGATTGATTGATTTGTCGAAATTAAGCGTGTCCGCTTGCTAGCGCCCTGCGGCTCACGTAATGGTCAAGTTTCTTATACATGATTGGTTTGTTCGTTAGACCACAAACACAAAGGGAAAGGAATGTAGCTCGGTTCTCAGCAGCCTTGGTTTAGCTTTTGACCATTTTTGGAGATCTACCAGGAGCGAATAGTAAAGCCGACGAAACCTCTGGACAATAAGAGATAAAATTGATAACAAAAATTCCTAGAGAAGAAGAGGAGCCTGTTACTCACGCATTTTCATGGCGGACGAGAGGGCTGTCAAGTAGATTAAAAAGATATCTTATTTTCTATATGAACAGTAATTGCATTAGAAAAAAGTTTTACTTTACTGTTTATGGATTCTTCTAGAGATGAGTTCACACTTTCGTAAGAAACCTCAGCGGCAGATAATTTGGAGGGGTTCCGGCCCGCATGTTGGTGCCCATCCATATGGGCACCAACACTGTTGTACCGACCTGAATCTTGGTGAAGATCTTGGGGTAGCTATCTCATTTTGTTTCCCAGATTTTGGACTATATTTATTGAACGGTTTTGATTTCTCTTTGATTGCGTCACAGTGAAAACCAGCAATTTTTAAAAGTGGACAGCGCCTTAGAACAAGAAAGTATACTTACCAGCCAGAGACATGGTTATCGATGAGAGAAGTAACAAAAGCAAGCCAATTTGGGTCATGATATATGCCAACAGTCCTAAAAAGATAGGGACAAAAAAGGCTGATTCTGCAACTGCTCTCGCCACTGAACCGCTTGCAGACAGTAAGGAATTTTATTGTACGGCTGATTCCATCAGCGGACAACATAAAGAGAATCCTGTGT